CCATGAAAGAAATTGCCTCCTTTTCTCCCCACTCCCACCTATTTTTTACTAACTTACTCTTGAACTGGAAATATCCTGAAAAACTAATTTTTGATTTTGCAGGCACTGTGATAAGTAACTTGGAAAGAAAAAGGACAACTGACTAATGCTATAAAAATAAGATATCGTTAAATGTTGAATATTTCCCAGATGTGCATTAATTCTGTTTATATTAGATTTAAGCTAACTACTAATTTTATTAGCAGCAGTAAGTCTAAAATTCAAATATATGTGAAGCAAGTCAACGTCTGTTATTGGAACAAGAGTAATTAGTTGAGTAATTAATCGAATCATGCTTGAGGCCTTTTTTTTTTTATTCAGGCAAGGTATTTAAACTGAATACATTGTTCTTTATCTCATCATAACCAACTGCTCACAGAATGTATATGTTACATTCTGCCACCAACATATGGATTCTACCTCATGTCATTAATGCAGTGGTTAACATCCGCAATTAATTAAATAGTTTTGGCACACTATCTCATCCAAGTCAGTGAGCAGAACCAGATATAATTTGAAAATTCAATGCATTCACCTGTGTGTTTGAACTTTCCTCTGAAGGAGGTGGAGGTGCCCAGATGAAGCTAAAGTTTTGTTGAACTTCTTCCATTCTTGAGTTGAAATACCTTGGCATGCAATTAAGACTGAGGCATTCGTGCATTATAAATTTATTGCCAATGACACATAATATTTGAGCTTAATTTAGTCATAGGTCTTGTTGTCTGAAAGATTTAAGAGTAACATTTTAAATTAGAGTCCCAACTATGCATTTAATTTAGATTTAATATGACAGTTACTTGTTCTGCTAACAAAAGCCCTATTGCATATTAAAAACATATTAATTGAAGATTAACAAAGATGTAGTAGATTTAGAAATCTTTGATGAAAACATTTTAAAGCATCAGTTGACATTTGTGAATACTGTAAATATATTAACAGTCTTATTGTGACCATCTCCTGAAAAATCTAGCAGATTTTGCTCCAATCAGAACAGAATGCTTCTGGTGCTATGGCCAGCAGTCTCATTGATCTTTTTTTATACAGTGTTTAAATTATTGCCTTTTCACTTCTGTTTGTAGGTGCTGCCACTGCAGACATGCAGCTGCTTTCCTGGTCTGTGAATGTGCACTGACTGTGGTGATAACATACATCAAAGATATTTTAAAACAGACATTTCAGTCTCCTCTGGAGGCTGGAAGCCATTGGAAGGGGTGGGGATAACATTTTCTTTCTGTGTGTATATGTCTTGAAGACTCAAGATAGGAGGTGTTCATGAATTTGCATATACATAACGATTGTATCACTCACCTGGAGTTGTTGTATGCAGAAAGTTGCTGCAGCTTTATTTCAGCATGGAAAAGGTCAGCCTGGGACATCCCACTGCCTTACCTCAGTGGCACGCCCTGATGCTGTGCAGGGAACATCATTAATCCTAGAGATAGCTGTCACTGATATATAGTTCATAATTTTCTATGAAATGTCTGCTGGGGAAAAGCCTCTGTGCTAATTGACAAGGTAAGGTCAACTGTTGGAGCTGTTGGTGGAGTCTGGCTCTGCTGGTCAGTTAATGCCTCAGTAGCACCCTGTCCTATTATTATTCTTCTACTCCTGCTCAACAAGCTGTGAGCCAGTTTCTGGAAGGCACCAAATTTGATCTGATGACAGCAGCATTCCCTAGTGCACTGCAAGACACTGGGCAGGCAGCATGCATGGTCTTGCCTTGAGGGCTGTAATGAAGCCTTGTAGTAGGATCTAGTAAGGATGTATTATTATAAATCCCTATCATGTTTATTTCACTTTTCATTCACATTCCTTCCAATCTTTTGGTATTTAGCCCCAGGCAGATTCAGCTATATATCCAAAGATGCAACTTTACATTGAATTAATGTGTATCTCTTTGCCAGTTAAGAAGTTAACAAAAAAGGAATAGGTGTCACTATTTTGCTTATGGTGGGAATTTGACGATGCACTGAACCAAGCACAACACACTTCGAGAATCTTAACTAGTTTGATTGCACCATCGACACTGTTATTTCGACATCCCCGCTCTCCGGCATCTGGCATAATTGGAAGCAGCAGCCAGCAGGTATCAGATGTCAGTATGAATTGTCTCCTGCTGTGTGAGCTCTGACTATGAAATTGATTTGCTGTCTTTTTTACGCAGTTTTGTAATGAAAGGAATGTGAAGTCCCAAACAGACAAATTCCATATTTGTGTATGTATAGTTAGAATAGGCATATGTATAAAAAAACAGAAAGAGCAAAATATATCATGAGGAAAGCAGTATGGCACCATCAGGCCCTGCTTCCTCACAGGTGGTTGTGGTGGCAGTCTCTCCTGTGTTTCCAAAGAAGCTGAGCTAAGCCAATATCTGGAAACCAATTTCTTTGGGTATTCGCATGGATCAAAAGCAAAAAACATGAGAAAGAAGAACCCTTCAGTGAGTGAATCTATATACCTATTTTATTCATCAGTGATAGCAAGGCAAGAGAGAGACACTGTGGAAAACAAGTCTCCAACCTGGAGCATGTTTACCCTCGATTTGTCATCAGGATCATAGTGACCCCTAAAATGAAAAAATGGCCTAAGCAAAGTCAATGGCAAATTGCTGTTGATTTACTATAGACAGGATGTAGCCTTAGGGCACATCAGAAATAAATGACTGTCTCAGTGTTTTCAAAATGCCGTCATACAGAACTATTTCACACCTATAAAGGTAATGTTTGTAGGACTGGGATCTTGAACGCTGATTCAAGGGAGGGTTAGACCAAGTATAAAAGTGCTGCCATTAACCTGAGCATTGAGAAAAGCCTTTGAGTACTTCCGAAGGATTGCTGACACCTAGCTGATGGCAGTAGGAGCACGAGAGTCCAGGCTTTGCTGGCAAGAACTGGTGCCTCTTCTCAAGCAGTGTTACAACTGGCTACAAAACAACCTTGTTTATGGGCCTCTTCCTCAGCTTGAGGCAATACTTGGCTTTGATACAAGAAGGCTTAATCAGCTTCTACTGTAATCAAATTATTGAAGGTTTTTCAAAGAGCAAATTGCAACATCTTCCCTTCCCAAGAGCTCAGGGTCAAAAACCTTGTTAGAAAAATTACCCTGAGCATTGATTACTGCATGTGGCCTCTTTCTATACAAGCATAATGGCAAAGAACATTCTGAACATCTGGTTCAGTGGGGCCCAAGTTCAGTGTTTAATTGTGTTTTTGCTCTGACACCCAGTTGCATAGCAATAAGGGGGAGCATATGATACAATAATCTATATATAGAATAGGTGGGGCCAAAACTTTGACTGGAGGCCAGCTAGTCTGGTATTCCAATCTTGGTGCTGACATGAAGGCAGCCAGTAACCTTCGGCAGGTCACTTGAAGCTCTTCCTGAATTTCAGAACCTCTGTTGACAAGGGACGAGTTTGTAACTGTCTTGGGATTGACACTTGTCATAACATGATCCAACAGGCCGTTTCATACAGAGCTGGATCCCAAGTGTCCAGAAAAACTTTTCCCCATCCTGGATAAGCACAAGATAATTTACAGGGATTTGGCTGCTCTGTTTAGAGGGTAGTTTCCACACAGAAGCAGCAATATACTGCAGTTTTCTTCTCTTCAGAAGCAACTAACAGGGCTTGAATCTGATCTCAAGAGCAGATAGAGGGCAGTCATTTGAGCAGCTGGTTCCCTTCTTTTACCCCACACAAGTCACAAGCAATAGTGCTTTGGGTCCTTGTGATGTCTGGACTGTTTGCTTTCTTCAGTCACCTTCTGCTGTAGGTAACACCACACTTTATTTCTGAAGCTAGGTCTGATTTCAACAGTAAGGCTACAAACGGTTGCTTACCATATCTGACAGACTTAGGCCCTTTTCTAGAGAACCAGAGTTTCCATCAGCTTTTAACCGTATAATTCAACCCCAAGGATAAGTTGTAATTCAGCCTGTAAGAGGGTGTGGTTTTAGGGATGCTCTCTGCAGCTCACTTCTCAGAGGTATGTCGTAGAAAGAAATCCTCCCACCTCCACGCAGAAGCATTGTGTGGGCTTGCTCAGACATAGGATGCTGCTGACTCAGCCAGCCCAATTTGCTGCTGTTCTTCCCCTCATTTTCTTGGGAAGCTTCCCTAGGGTATGCAGACCCCCAATGGCAAGGAGGAGGATGAAGACGACTCTACTCTTCTTCCTAGTAGTGCAAAAAATTGTACATTGTACTAGAGAAGATGTGGCTACTGCTCTGGCTGTCATTGAAATCCAGAGAGGAACAAGAATATGACCCAGCAATACCTCCTCTGCTGTGTTTAGGAAGGTAAGTCCCATCATTTATTTAAAGGGTGATGTTACCAGAGTCAACAAAATTCTTTGTATCAATGTATTCATTGATGGAGAAAGAGGATTCCTGCAAGAATGAAACACTGCTCTGGATAAACTGAACAACAGTCTTAGATCAGTGCATTTAATAATGCATTTAGCAGATTCTTCCATAATGTGTCCTTCCAGTTTGTTTCCTTCCCTTCATTGTTGTGCTGTGGAGGTGAGTGAACAGTTACGCTGGGCATCATGGTTTCTATGAGCCTATTTCCACTCCTCTCCAAAACACATTGCTGCATTTTACAGTGACTTTTCTTGGCTTCCAACTCTATCACACCCCTTATGGAGATTCAATAACCTGAATTTCTCAATAGAAGTCAAATAGCTAAATCCAGTATGGTAGGTGAAGTCTCTTCCAGAAGCGGCTCAGGAAGATCTTAACGTACTTTCCCTCACTTCTCTCAGGCAGCTGTTCAACTTCTGCTGCTTTTTTCCCCCAGTTCACTTCTCTTAATACAAATAGGCCAGTTTGGCCCTCCATTCTTGGATTCTCTGAAAGAGAAATTTCAGGGTGATTAGTGTAAGCAGCATACTTACATTCCTGTCTGCTTCTTGCATAAAACTTACCTTTCAACTGTTGTTTTAGTAGCAGTAAAACTTTTGTAACTGCGTGATGTTTTTGGGAATGTTTTACTGTCCCCTTTATAGCAAATGTTACAGCATGCACATATGACATCAAGTTCCTCTTGTGAGTACTTGATTTTTAGCGACATGAACAAGACACAGATGGACATGAGAACCCAGCTGTTGACTCTGTCTCTCAGTGCCCTTTTTCTTATATCTGTGACCTGATCACGTAGTACAAAGTGTTTCCTGCTGAACTACATGCAGCTGCCTGGCTGAAAAGCATGTGAGAGCTTTATTTGTCCTGCCTGCAGTCCCAGATCTTCTTGGAACAGGCTCCCAGATCCCTCCTGTTGTGGAGGTGGGTGATATCACCAGATAGCCTTCCCAAGGATCCTGTCCTCTCTGGAATCCACTGCCAGGGATCTGCAGGGCATTACAGCCTGCATTTCAGCGTGCTGCTCTAAATAAACTGCCTGAGCTAAGGTCTCGGATCCCTGGGGCTTCAGAGCAGTGCCACCCCTTTTTGTCAAGGTGAATAAATGTTAGTGACACACAGGGAACATAAACTGAGGCTTGACTTATTTATGTCATTTTTTAAATGTATTTCTTTTAACAGATTTACCCATCTCCATGCACCCAGCCTCCTTGGAATCTGTTACATTGTCATGAAAATTGCTCAGGCCCGTGTTCTCATTTTTGGCTGATATGAAAGACCTGAAGATCTGTCTTGATCCAGATGCTTCTTGAGTCAGCTGCACCGCAGCCCACCCACAGCAAGGTAGGCGCACAGCTTGTGGTCAGAAGGAGTCAGAGATGTCTGGGTCATGACATGGTGTGCAGGTCTGGGGCACGAGCAGGCAGGTGGACATTGTTTTGCCTACAAGTGAAATGCAGCTTGCTCTGCAACTGCCCATCACAACCTCAGGTGCCCAAATGGCAAAATGGTGTGTTGCTTAGGCAGTACAGATGTTTATTAAGTAGTCTGTCAAGAGCTGCTTTTACTGAAGTTAAACCTCTTCCACTGAGTATCTGACAGCACACCCTAGGGCCCAGGCTTCACCCTGTTAGGTGAGCAGTCACACTCCTCTGTACAGTGTACATAGTCCAAGCATAAGATGAGGTAACAGATATAGACAGAAGAAAATGTAAAAAAAACACCAAACACTAAAGCCAATCTACACACTTCTCAACAGCCTTAACTGAAATGATGTAATTTCCCAGTACAATCAGTTGTTTTGCCTATCTGTTTTCTGTAAGTGGGAGTTTAGTTTTGCAGCTCACATTCCCCTGGAGTGATCCATGCCTCCCTTTACCATCTCCTGACGTGTGGAGCACCACTCTTCCACCTCTCACATCTTTGGTTTTCTAACATCACCATTTCAACACTAGCTAGTGATCACATGAGAACTCAATATTAGGAAACCATTTGGTATATTTTTAGCAGTGCTTAGGCTGAAGTAGCAATGAACAGGGAGGAGTGCCAGCCACATGTGACCAACCAGCTGTCTGTGGCCCACATTTTGGAAATCACTGATTCAAGTAACTGGCAATAGGTTATGGAAAATTTCTCTTTTAGCCTGCTATTTCAAAATGATCCCAAACTAAACAAGGTAGGAAGGTCATCTTGGCTATAAACAACTTTACAATGTGTGAGCAGTTGTAATCTAGTTTCTTTGCCTTTTAATGGAAGAGAAATACTTCAATTGGAAGTAAGTCTCATTTGTGCCTCTAGCTACAAAAGCAGCCGAAACAGTGCTATGGCTGGGATGAAGAGGCTGTGTAGTTGTTGTGTCCTTCTTCCCCACTCTTAGGCACTTGGTCGTGTTGTGCTAAGTGCTGAGGTCTTGTCCTCTATTGTGTGGAGAGAGGGGAAACCACCAAGCAGGTTTATCTTTATAAATCTTAATGTGACAGCCATGTAACAAAAAAAAAAAACCTGCATTAAACATGTGAATCTTCTTCCTTCTCCAACCTGCTGTCATGCATATCTGTTGGCTATGACTTCCAGCTCACCACCTTTCCTGTCTTCTTAATCCATGAGTATTTTAGGAGTCAATAACTCCTTGTCAGCTGGCACCTATATGCATCAAAGGCAGCTGCCTGCTAGAGTTCTGCATGCTTCTGGGGTTATTTAACTGCACATATGAGCAGATCTTGCATTCCTTTTATGTCACCCATCTGTGAAAAAGCCTGCACCAATTTCAGCCAGGCTTGCTTTATCACATTCCCTCCTTGCCAGCCTAGCAACCTGCTTTAGTCTGTTCCCTGTTCCACTGAGGAAGGGGAGACTGTGCCTTTAATATGTGTTGCCTTGTATCTTCCAGTTTTCAGCTTGGTCTCTCTTGCTGTCCCTCAGACCATCTCTGAGCACAGCAGAAAGTTGCATCAGCACTGGTCCAGGCCCCAGCACATGCACAAGGTAGGGTGAAGCCACCCCCAGATTGTGAGGCCAATAATCAGCCAGGTCTGCTTATGAGAACAAGACCTCAGTCTCCATCTGACATGGGGAAGGAATCAGAGCAGCCCAGTGTGCACCCTGCTAGGGCTGCACCATCCCAGTGTGGGATTCAATCCTTTTGTAGATCTGAAGACTTTACCAAGCTCCCAGCTCCACACTACCTGCCAAGGAGGTGACAGGCATCACGCACCAGCTGTGATGGACATTGTGGGACTGAGTCCCTATGTGTTTTGTCTGGAGTCAGTTTGATTCCAAAAAAATGCCCTCAGAAACAGTATTTCAAACCCCGGGGAGACTCTTTGTTTTATTGTTTTAGGAATGCATTTTGTAAATCACTCGGTGGTGGCAAGTTTATGTATTTGGATAGCAAATTTATGTTGCACTATTAGTTTCAAGGAAATCCGATCGAGTATGTGGATTTTGGACTTTTGACCTTTACACAGAATGAGCTTTTTGAAGAAGTGTGAAGTAACTTGTTCATCTCCACGTAGTGTACTCTGCTGAATGAAAATGCTCTCTGAAGAGACACAGAGAGGATGTAAGGGGTGGTGAACACTTCATCTCAGTCAATGGTTTCTCCCTTCCCAGCCTGTTGCCAGTGGTTGGGACACTGTGCTAAGCACTGACCTGGTGCATTTTCAGTTCTGCACTTTGTGTTTTGCAGACACTACCAGGAAGGTGGAAAGGGTTGCCCTACTGCTGGCTCTCATGGGGAATAAGGGAGTGACCATCCCCCACTACATGGGACTCAGGATAATGGTTGCCCAGGTCTTGCTGAAGACAGGAAAGATGCATGGAGGAAAGGTAGGCTTTACATTTTTTGCCTCCCAGCTCAGTAGGTCTGGGAGCATGGCTGTGCATTTCCAAGTCCTGTTCCTTGTGTCCTTCCCTGCCATCCTTCTGCCCTTTCCCCAGACATCCCTTGCCTCCCTGGTCAGCCCCACACTTCTCCAGTACATGTGCTATTTATTTAGCTTCACTGCCATCTGAGCTTTCTGCTCTGCTGGTTTGATTTCTCTCAAACTATGAAGTCCTTTGACAGAGGCAGACCATGACAATGTGTCTCACTCCTCTTCCCTTTTTTTTCCCTGTTTTCTGCCAACGGCCAGGTTTGAACTGACATTGGCTGGTTGTAGGTCAGGTTCAAAGGCATCAAGCACTGTTTGAACATCCCCTTGGGCGATACGCTCATATGAAAATGAGTAGTCTAGAAAACCTCTGTGACTTCACAGAGTAATCCACTTTATGGGTGAGCTCCTAGGGTTGACAGACTTCTCATTTAATATGGGGTTTCTCATATTTTAGCCAGAAATCCTGCATCTTGTGGTAAAGGACAGGCTTACTACCTGCCCTAGTATGTTTTCCATAAATCATGCAGAATTCTAGCCTGAAGTAGGGAAAACAGTCCCACCTTACCCTTTTCTTCACAGATTCGTTAATTGTTTCAGAGCTGCTATCTTGCCATGCAAACAGAGGTGGCTATATGGCAGCAACAGGGAAGGGTGGATGCATGAATGATAAATGGGGAGCTGCACAGAGGAAAAGTGCTGTGGGAGGGGGGTGGGAACATCCCTTATTTTAAAAGTGCTTTCTTTTGAGGATACTTATTTCCATTTTATTTCTCAAAAATTAATGGATGCCATAAAGCAGCTAGTGGGTGTGTTAAGACCTGATGTGGAGGGACAGACAAGAACAATAGTCACAGTTTCTAACCACTGAAACTGTCCGTCCCTCCCTCCCCCTGTTTGTTGTACACTCTTCTTAGGACCTGCCTACATAAATGTCCCCAAATCTGGTGTACACAGCCTACACTGACGCCCACAAAATTCCCAGTCTTTGTGAGCATGTGGATTTTAAAGCCTTTGTAAAACTGTTTAAACAAAGATGAGCTTCTCCTGCAGTTGTGGGGGAGAAATTGTTCTGCTTGAGTCAGGGTGCACATCTTTAGCATGTTTAATTCAGCATCAGCTTGAATGAGACTGCTAACACAGAGCAGCCGAGGATCTGGCCTTTTTTTAAGGAACTTGGGGTAAAGGGAAATGATGGGCAGTGGCTTAGAATTCACAATACCCAGCTCCTGTGTGTTTTCAGTATGCAGCACTCATAAGCCGTCACTTGATGAATATGGCCTGAAGTGATGCAGGCAGCTTATTGTAATTTTTTGCTGTGCTCCATTCGGATTTATTTCCTAGTCAGTCAGGTGGGACACCCTGTAGATTAAGACTTAGCACACACATTTTGAATCTGTAGACTAGTACTTGAGGTGAAATAGGAATTGCTTTATGTTTCAGAGCAGTAATGGCCTGAATTGCCAGAAATAACCATAATAACAAACTGCTTGTTTCCCGAGTCAGGCACACAGTGCAAACAGCCGTAGTCTCGGAGCACCAATGCTCTCCCTGTTTTTTAATGAAAATAACATGGATGGGAAGCAGTCCAAGAAGAGTTTGTTCCTTTGGCTTCTCTGATATTCTTTTTGAAGCTGTCTGCTGCTATGAAGAAATACAATTACAGAACCATTTAAAATGTGTGGCTCTTCTGAGGAGAAAAGTGGATGGGTTGTATGCAAACAGAGCTGTACACCACATATAGACAAACCAAAAAACATGCAGATGCTGAAATTTCTGTTTTCTGGGAGGTCTTTGGGTGACTCTCCTAATTTTTATTAGAGCCATTATGTAGAATCAAACTTTCCAGCTGACAGTCCCTCCCTTGCTTGAGTGTCTGTCTCAGACACCCTCCCCTCTTGTATGCACCTTTGTGTAAGCTGGTTTATCCTGTCACTTGCTTCACAAGGGCTTTTCAGGATTCTCTGTTCAAGTCAGCAGCCTGGGTGTCTTTGGAGATGCCTGCCAGCCTTCTGAAGAAGAGTTCATATCAGAGGATTTTGTTGCATTCCTGTTCGAAGTCCTCACCTTATAAGAAAGTCCTCTCCCACTCTGTGCTTTTCCTTTCTTCCAAGGACCTTCTGCATTCTTGTCTCATTTTGTGCATTGGCTGTGAGACTTCAGTCTTTGCACCACTAAAATGTCGGTAGTGTTCTACTTAGGCTCATGAACGCACCAATAAAGTACAGGCACGACTATCCAGGCGTGCATCTCTGCTGACAAATGTAGTGCCTAAAACTGGCAGCAGTGATGGAGATGGCAATGCAGATATGTGATGTCAGATGCGTTTATCACTGTGGGGTAACAGCCATGTGTGAAAGCACCATTCAATCCCAGCAGAAGTGGGACAGACCCATCCACATTCCCAAAGCAGCTAAAGGCTTGCTCAGGGCACATTTTGGGATGCAGAGATCTTGACTTCACTGGTTTCTGACACCTAGAAACAGGGATTCCTTCTTGCCTCATGGTGGACTGTGACAAAAATCAGGTCTGATTCCACATGAATACGAGTTTGTGTCATGCAAACATATACCACAGACTCTTGTGACAGAAGTGGCGGCTCATGTCAACTGAGACTGAGGGAGGGAGGATCCCAAGGAATGAGCTGTCTTGTCAGCTGTCTTGTCAATTGTGATCGGTCAGCTGCTGCTTATGATGAAACTGGTCTTTGGGGGATTTCATTCTGCATGGCTGGCCAGCTGGTATGTGTTTCTGTCTGGGATCTGAAGCTCTGGCCCTCATTTGAGGAGGCAGGCCTTTTGTTCCGTATCAGGCTTCAAATAGTTCAGCATTTGTTGGTTTATGTTGTCTGCTTGACCATTTGTTGTGTTAGCAAGCTTCCTCCTAACCACAGCTCTGAAGCAGTCTGCTCCCCTGTGATGGTTTCTGCTTTAAAAAGTGGATGTGTGTTGGCTGTGAACTCCTGAACCTGCTCTTGTTTGAGAGGTGAAGATATTTGCACACAGAAGAGAGAAACTGGCTACAGGGGTTTCCTTTTAATTAACTGTTTGGTCACACTCCGGTTTCTTACCATCAAGGCATGTTAATGGCAAAAAGTACAAGTTGTGTAATCCGTACTTCCACTGTTTTGCAAGCAGCAGAGCTGATGGAGAGAAAGGAGTGGTAGCGATTAGATCCACAGCAGTGATTCACAGCAATTTGCTTGAGTTTGTACAACCCAAATATCAGATAACGTTGTGATTTGCCTTTTCCATGGAACACTGTCTCACGAACATATTGATCTGTGTTGCATCAGATTGCTCAGAGGTTGGAGAAAGCCAGAAGGAGAATTTTACCTTTTTCCTTCTGACATTTGAAAAACAGGATTATACAACTTTGCATCTAGCTCTGTGTAACCTTCAATGACCAGCCTTGGAAAGTCGCTTAAGAATTACACTTCTTTTAAGCTTTCTTTAAACAGTTAAGAACTCTCTTCATATCCCTTGAAGACAAGAATTAGCCTGTTCCTGTGCCTTAGCCACAGGCAACATGCAGAGTGAGACAGGGGGAAAAGAAGGTAGATGATTGCAATTTACCCTTTGGGGTCATAGTTATCCTCTTTCTGCCTCAGATGGATTCAGAGCCCACTGGAGGTTTGCTCATTCACATCCCTGGGCTTCTAGATGATCAGCCCTGACTTGAAAAGTTACCATCTTCAGTATCAGTGAGCTACCCGGAGAAGGGAGAGTACTACTCAGAAAGGGTTTCTGAGAGCTGAGTGGGATCAGTTCCCCCAGTGATAGCCAGAGTGCTTAATGCTATAGAAACCAGGCATTCAGTGTTTGATTTTTTATTTATTATTTATTCAGTATTCATTTGTCTATATTCTCAAATTAAACTGCTTCCAGAAGAACAAATTAAGAGATTGAAACATTAAAACCCCTAATGTTAAGGCACCTGCCCACATGTACCCAATTTTCAGAGGAACTAAGGCTTTGTGTTCCTCAGGAAAGAGTTTTCAAGAAGTAAAATAATGTAAGTGCTCAGTACCTCCCCTAAATCAGTTCACTCTTAGTTATATGCCTGCATTAGTCAGCGGATTTTGGCCTCAGATCTAACGTGTGTGTGGAAATGAGTGGGGAGGGGGAAGCTAAGATTTATTTTTTTTAAACTTCTCAGCTGCTTTGCTTAGAAGCCACAGACTGCTCTTTGTAAGGGTGCAGCTGTGGCTAGTCCGTCACACAAGATTGTATTTTAGGATAAGACAAGCACCAAGTCAGCGTAGCTCCTATTGTTACTTGTCTGTCATCCTATGTTAGCAGAATTCAATGCACGCAGTGTTAGCCAAGGAGATGTGGCATTAGAGCCACATATGTAGATGAAGGCTCTCCAGATGTATTATACTGAGAAGTTCAGAGCTCGGAGCACGCAGCGGTTACTTTTTTTCCCTTTGGAATCTGTATAATTCAATGAGGCACCACAGACTTGATAGTCTCAAAGGAAGTAATAGTCTTTGCCATAGCAGGTCACTCTCTGATGCAATGGGAGGAGACATGTTTGCAGTGCCGCGCCAGGAGTTATGCAATCTAAAATGTCAACTTGAAACATGTCCAAGCACTACTTAAGGCTGTAGCATTGAACACACAGGTGCACGAGATGTTTGGGTACTCGGAGAGGATGGGGGTTCTGCAAAATGACTTTTGACGTGCCTGAGAAAACAATGGCACTTGCAGAAATTGAGCTATTGAGAGATTCAATTTGTAGGGAAGGAGAAGAGAATTACCTAATTGTTTCAATGCACCAGAAAAGGAATGTATTTCTTGGTTGGGAGAACTCTTTTCTTGATGTAACTGTGTTGTTAAATTCTCTTTCGAAGGAGGGATACCATGAGTCTCTGTAGGTTCAGTGAACTTTTCATTCACTTTCCAATGTTATTGTGGGGTACATTTCCCTTCCTTCACAAAGGATGGTGATGTGTGGGCTCTTTTAACAGTTAACCCCATCTCCTTTCTTGCTTCCCAGTTCACTTCTTCACCATACTCCATTGCAAGGACAAAGCATGGGGACCCTGCATGATTCTGGGGTAAGGTAGAGACTGTAGCCAGTTCAGATTTGATGCTCCCATAATATAGGCCTCTCTAGTTTTGTTGCATAGGCATTTTCTTGGCTTCAAAGGATTTCTCAGGGTAATGAAACAGCTCCATGGAGAAAAATGTTTCTGTGACATTTGCTTCTGTATACCAGGCATTATAGTAACATCTCTCACTAGGGTAACTGTGTTCAAGTATTTAATCTCAGGCATTTGAGTCACCCTTCACCAGTTCTTTTGCAGGGTTCACAGTAGTATAGGCAACATTGAATTGGTAAAGACGAGGGCATGGAGAGAAGTCACGGTAAGGTAAGCAAAAGCTAAGGGTTAAAGAAAAAGGTCCAAGCTAAGCTGGGTAGGGCTGGCTCTGGAAA